ATTACATTATTACTCAAGTAAATGTATGTTTTGGATTTGTGTATATGCGGCTTGTGAAACTAGGGAATTGTGTGTGTGTGTGTACGTAACGATGAGAGTCAAGTCATCAGAAACTGGCCAAGACAACAAGCAACTGTAAATGTTTGTAAAGCAGAGACCAAGGAAGAAAGCAAATATAAGTAAACAAAAGTATTGAAAATTCAATAAACGAACATTTAATACCCTACAGCACTTAGATTCGGCTTAATCGTCTTCCTCTCTACTAATAAGAGTTACAAACGCATTAACATATTTTATATAATCGAACTGCAGGTGAAGGGTATAAATAACAACAAGGCTTTAAAATGTATACATACTTATAAAAAGCTGTTAGTTTAGTAAACTAACGCAACACACACACACACACACACACACACGCACGCTCCCATATACACGAATATCGCGAAGTACATACGTACACGAAGAAGAACAATCAACGGGATATTATGTAATCACAGCAGGAATAAAGACCGAGACACACTCTTGACCGAGTTTTTAAACTTAAACCTAACGGTTTATTTCACAACAACAAGAACGACAACAACAGCGACAGTAAGAACAACATTAACAACAGCAACATTTGTGTGACGTCCACAATCCAATACACGTCGCTTTAGCGTAAACAATATCTACAAGTTTTTTGCTGAACGCCTGTCTCCCTTCCCTGCCTAACAGTCGACAGCTGCCTGTTGCCTTTCTTTTACCTATTTCGCTGGTGTTTATGCATGTTTATTGTATTCACATACAAGCACATAATTTTAATGGGTCGCAATGCTATCTGGTTATAAAAGAATTTATCTATGTGTTCTTGTGTCTTTGCATATGTATGAGTGCGTGTGTTTGTATATATGGATTTTCTTCTTTTTTTTTTTATATGGGGGATTTGTTTAGAACTGTAAAAAGTTAATAGTATTGGCATTTTGGCACAGAGGCTTTTATTTTGCATTTGTCAATTCATGTACATATGTGCAACTTATGCAAATCAGTTAAGCGTACATGGCATACATAGATGTCTTATTCCTAAGGGGCAAATCTACCTACACCTATACACATATCTATGTTTAGTTGAACCTATATGGCAAAGAGGACATTTCGATTGCAGCTTTCGAATGCTTTGATGACGCGATGCATTTTATGTATGTCAGAGTAGACTTAATTCACGCTCGAAATTTCTAAAGTGCCAAAAACACCCACAATTGAAAATATTTCGATTAATAACGGGACAGTTCGCAGGCGTAAGTGTATAAAACTAAATCTTCTCAAATATTCCAGAGTAACGGTTAGTGTACTTGTTTTGAGGTTATACCGCAATATTCGTTTTAATTTGCTTTGATATACGAATTTATCGCTATCTGTCATTCAACCACAGTACAGTAAACGTTTCACGTACATATATATAATATATATATATATATAAGACCAATCACTCAGGCGATGTTACTTGTACGTGCAAGACGGTGAAAGTTGAAAATAAGCTAGGAGAGAGAAAGCGATAGGGGAAGGTTGCAGCCTAGTTAAAGCGTACCCAACAGGCCGATCTTTACAGGCCGACCTGAAAGAGACTAAGCCCATTTTTCTATTAAAATGCACTTTAACTACTCCAGCACTAAACTTGGACGGACTACGAAATGATATACGATCCATGAAATCATAAAATGAGTGAAGAAAAACTCACGAATGCCTTTTAAACACTTTACGAAATAGTTAATTAGGTTTCATAAGTCCTAGCCTTCATATTTCCATTGGGGAGCCGTATAAAGCTCTCGCCTCTCTGCTGAAGGTCCCAATATAAAAATTATTTTTTTAAGAATAAAAATAAGACCATTTTTTTCAACTGACGATAAAAGGAGTATTTTAACGTAGCAAAGGTACAGTTTGCTGGAATCGGTCAGCACTAGTTACAATCTTAGAAAGAATAATATTAAGTTAGAAAATCCTTCAGGAATTATATTTTAAAAGGACAAGACAGTGAAGACAGTAACTAATAGCAGAGCAGACACTCATTGAATAAAAAATTATTTCAAAGACGATCGGAAACTAAATGAACTTGTTCCATGTTCTCATCAGTACGATGGTATATGAAGTTCGAACGGATGTATATAACACTAAATCCCAGAAGGGCTTGAGATACAGAGCCACCTTTTATTACATCGAAACGTTTTCTAAATCGATCTAAGCTAGTTTGCCAGCCCTTGTGTTTAACCTACAGACCGCAAACTTTTGAGGTATTTTGATTAAGTCTGGTACATTGCCATATTTTGGGCCAAGAGCGAAAGCTGTTGAAAATAATTCAGATCGGACTACTTTTTCAACCGCTGCACATATATTGCCTTGTTTTGAAAAATCCTGATATGATGTCCACTATACTCGTTTCACTTGTTATTATTAACTTTCTTTAAAGAAATATATTCTTGACTGAAATAACAAAAACTCAGTAAAAAAAAAAAATTATAGTCAAGTAAGGTCCTAAATCTTTATCACCGAAAGCGAAATGTCGGAAAACAAATAGGAAAGTCCTGGCTTCTTAAAGGCGGATTTCCGCTATTCACCATCCCCTACCATAATTCCAGATATGTGAAAAACAACATTGAAGCCGCTGGCATTTGCGACTTGTTTTAGCAAACATCTGCAGTCTCAATAAGCTACATATATAATAAAGTGGTAAGTATAGTAAATATATATGGTTTCAAAATTTGTACGTACATGTCTTTACTACGATTGTCGTCAAACTTGTAATTACTCTGTTCTTGGAACTCTCTTTCTTGGAACAATTAGACTGTATCCGGGTGCTAGGACTTTGAAGTTATGGTTTTTTGCCTAATGTGAACATGATCAAGATGAATCCGATCTGTGCCAATTGGTAACTATTTATCTCAGTTTTTGTAATCGTTTGTAATAGACAGACAGATGGGCGGAGGCAACAACAGACAGATGAGTAGGCATTGATCGATTTGGAATCTTATGCTGAGATCACTAAAATACTTTATAGATCCTTAGATGTGTTTATTTAGACACTGCAAAGACAAATCCGTCGCTGACAAGTAACGACAATTTGCAAGCGAGGTGTTAAAACAAATAACGCTTCCCGCGAAAAAACTAGAGAACAAAAATTTTCCCATAGCCTAAAAAGGAGACAAGAAAAAATTAGCCTCCCCATCAAAAAAAAATTCTACAAAATTTTACTCTTACGAGTTTCAGAAATGTGAGTTCGATTTTGTTAAAGTAAGAAAAGTTTGGGTCCGAATCTGTTAGTCGAATTCAAGGCGCTAAATCACTTATATGGGGACGTTTCTAAATCGCTTTCTTTCGTGTCCGTGACGGTATTCCATGTCATTTCTTGCATTAGCTTACAATCTTCCTTACCCCATATTCTTCTACTATATCCAACTGCCCCGGAATAAGCTCCGCATACCATACCGTCAGCCTATTTATCGGTCCAGTGTTGATTCATGTACGTGTTTGGACAAATTTGGATAAAATTTGGTACACACACTTCAGTGAAACGAGAATTATATAAATTATTACACTGCTCACATATCGGCACGTGCCTAAAGTTGAGTTGATTTTCTTTACAAGATTTTTATCTATTTCCACTTTTTCAAACTTCTTTTTGCATTTGTGAAATGGTTTTGATTTCTCGTTAAAAGCCGTTGTCTGGTTTTTTCCCAAATCCTTTACATGGTTTATAAAAAAAGTACTATGTGTGGAGAATGGAGAGATCACAGAGTTGCTTTTAATAAATAAGAAAAATAGTGAATAAAAAGATCTCTCTCATCTGTTAAATGAGAAGAAGTAACGGAAAAGACATCATCGTGTTTCATTTACGTGAAACATTTCTAACACAATCCCAATTAGATCTATGCATGCTACCATGCAAGGATGAAGGAGAGACAGTGTCTTCCGTATGTCAAATACATTTCTAGGTTAGCATTAGGTGAAACTGGAAGACCTGAATTCCAGAATATATAGAACTGATATAAAATTTCGTGCTATTCGCTAAGTTTCCTTTCTTATCTTTCGATAAATTCTAATGTTCAAAGAAGAAAAGGGGAAAAGATTATCGACTATTCATTGCCTTACTTGATCGTATCATTCATTACTGCGGATGAACGGTTGATTTTGTATTTTCAGAACCCAAAGAACAAAAGATCATGGATAGATCCAAGCGCATTATCCACAGCTACTGCAAAAGAAGCTCACTTCAATAAGAAGACAATGTTCTTTGCTTCACAGGATCAAAAGGATGCGATCTGTTACAAGCTTTTAAAGCCGCTCGCTATTTAAAAAACGACCAAAATATCAAAAAGGGCAACAGAATATCATTTTTTTACATGACATTCATCCATCGATCTTCGAGGATCTTATATAGTTGCATACATTTACCTATATTCAAAACCGTCTTCTCCACCCAAGTGTTCTTACAACAGCATTTAAATAAAAACTTGAGTGAAATATTATCGTATAATTGCTTTCTTTAAATTAATTAAAAGAATTTTTTTATTTGGGCTGCTAAACGGTAAACCTAAATATATATAAATAGTTTCCATATACATACAACTTTTAGGTTTTGTTTTTAAAAGTGAATGAAAAAATAGAATAAATATTTAAATCCCATGCGCTGATGATTTTAAATACTTTCCAGTTTTCGAAATTTTGTCCAGTTTGTCCAGTCCTTCATTACATATAAGAGCTAAAAATAAAGTCACTCCAAACCTCTCCAAACTGAAACAATTAACAACAGTTTGAGAACTGTTAGCACCCAACTTATCATCTATGATACTTGGTGATAGGTGCGTGTAAATTCGTCTTAGAAATCACACAATATCACAAGTTCAAATGGACCTATATGTAAATATATTATATATATTATGTATTATGTGCATTCAAGTCAAAACTAGGATTTTTGCTTCCACTTTGAGAAGAATTGCAGTTAGTTTTTCTGAATAATGAGAAATATTTGATTATTTGATATTCGAATGTGATGTCGCGCATATTTTATTCAAAATAAATTTAAATTCAATAAAAACATAAGGAATTCATTTCGTAATTTTATAAAAGAAAGTAAGAAAAATGAATTATATAAAAAATCGTCCCAGAGTTTAGTTGTCTACTTTATGCATATTTAAAGCACTTTAGTTTAAATGAGCTTTAGTCAAAGCTATTATGGGAGCGGCAGTGGGGAGTGCAGGTAATTCGCCGGCACTAGCAGCGATATCTAGATGCGTATATTTTAAGGGCTTAGGCGAATCCAAGCCATGTTTATTTAGACCCGTGGCTTGGATAAGAAAAGCAGCGGGCACCTGATGGCCACGCGGTGTACGTGACGATCCAAGATTATTACATTGAACCACATCTTCACCAATCACTTTACCGGCATTAAAATCAAAATCATCTTGTCGCAACGTAGATACCTCAAAAGGATCACCAAACATTTGCCCGATTTCCTGAAGTTTACGCGCATGACCAGTGCAGTGAGCTACACTATTATCAATTACGATTGAGTAACCGGAACCAGCAGCCAAAGCAGCATGACCGGTTAGAGTGGCAATCGTAAATAAGTGAGGATCAGGCAAATTTTCAGAAACAGCCAATTCTTTCATACGACACAAAGCATCGGCCATACACATACGGCCCTCGGCGTCTGTATTCCCGACGCGTACACGTACGCCAGCACGTGAGGTAATAATTTCATCGGATACGTAACAATCTTCGCCGACTGAATTACGTACCAAGCATAAAGCAGCAATTACATGGATGTCTGCAGGTTTTTTCTCGTTAACAATCTAAACGATTCAAAAAAGAAGTTATTATAATTTTCTCTGGACTTACAGAAAAACTTACTTGCATAAATCCAGCTACTGCGGCAGCTCCGCATTTATCCCTGCACATACCAGCCATAATCCCTCCAGCCTTAATATCAGCGCCACCAGTGTCATAAGTTACACCTTTACCAACTAACATTAGGGTCTTTTTAGCTGGTTGAGGTGGTTTATATTCCAAAAAAATTATACGCCCGCGATGACGTTCAATTTGATTGGCAGCCCGATTAACGGCAGCGAACAATGGATATTCCTTGGTAATCGTATCCACGTTACTAATTACGTTGACTTTCAAATTCTTAAATATTTTTGTAACGTATTCCTCGATTCGTGGTGGTGCCATTCGTTCGGGATCGCCAACACCTAAATAGATTTAGTCAAAAATTTTGTAGCATATTTCGTGGCTTACTATGAAAATTATGCAAAAAATGAAAGAGAAGAAAAAAAAAGCATACCAATATCACGCGCAACAAAACGTCCAGATTCTAGTAGTAAAGCTTCTTTCAAAATTTCCTCAGCTTTGGGACTAGATATCATTACAGACAGATTGGAAATGCGTTGACTTTTGTCAGGCACGTCTTCACGATATTGAATAGGCTGAAATGGAATAAACAAAACTACACATGTAGACAGAAATGGCATCAATGGTATCAATCGCTAAAAGTATATATATACCACATAAAGCTCAGAAAGAGCACCCAATACGGTACACAACGGCGCGTAGGCGAATTTATCACTTTCCGGCACTAGTAACAAAGGTGCCTTGAAACCGGCCTTAATGGCACGTTCTAGCGATTTAGCCGCTGCGTTTTGATAACAGCGCACATCATGATAATCGGTTAATTCGGGTAGAGGTGAATAAACCACGGGCATATTTAATTTCGATGATTTGAAACATGATACCATCGTATCGAATGCTTTATCGTACGAACGAAAATCATTGAATTGCTCGACCAATTCTTTGGGAATTTGACGATCAATTACGCATAAAACGTCACAACCGGATTTTTGTATCACTTGAGATAATTTTACACTACATGGTATTAACCTGAAAAGAAATGATAAAACCGATTCAAATTTTCCAGAAAAAATGTTTCAATATTCTTAGGAATGGGAAATTATGCCTACACTTATGATCTATAGATCGCAAATAGTCAGGACATTTTATAAGTCCCGCGGGCAAACCTTTTTGAAAGCTACTGTAGCTATATACATATATAAAATAGCAACCCGCGTGCGCACATATATTCGCACTTTTCCCCTGTGATGAGTTGCTAATTATATTAGAGCTTTTGAGCGAACTTTGCCCAATTTTTAAATCTAAGGCGGTGTATACCCAACTCTTTTTTTACACTGTAGATACGCTCCCTAGGAAATCGGGCAAAAAATTGTACATGCGACCTGTAATCGCTTACGTTGAAAAAACTTTAGTAAAAAGTTCGTATAAAAGAGTGTATTTGTTCGTATTGATGAACAGTGTTATTACAAAAAAAAAAAGAGTGGGTGTAAGTTACAGACAACTGATATGAATAAAAACCAAAATACATGAAGTTTTTCCTCAGCAGATAGACAGATGGACATAAGTAAATTTGCAGATTTGGCTCTAATCGGTACAGAGTTTAAAAAAAAAAAGTTAGGGCATGAATTGCAATTAAAACTAAAGAAATGAAGTGAGGTAATAGCAAAAAAAATTTCGCCAGAGTGAAATCATTCTTAAACTCGGCAAATTAACAATAAGGATTATTTAATCTGATCATTTTAAATACGACTTAGACAATTTCGGCATTCTTAACTCTTTAAATCCACTTCCAAAGATAATTAGTCATCTCTATTTACACCAGTATAAGCGGATGAAATAGAAACGAGAAGCTCAATGGATTTTTATTTGCTTTTTGTTACGCTGTTAATTTAAATTAAATAATAAAATAAAATAAAAAAAAAAGAAAGAGAAAAAGAAATAAAATTGTAAACACTTTTCCGTATACAATGCCAAGGTCGAATGTTATTGTTCGTCTTAAACGAAAAAAATGTTTACACATCAATTGAAGCCGGCGGCAGTTAGTTTACAATTCTTAATATACGGAGGTAAGCATGAATTGTGCTAACGAAGCGCAATTCTATACGTTTCCTAGTAGAAAGCTTAACAATAAATTGTAAAAGACGAATGCACTTTCAAGGAAATATTTAAAAAGTTATAATTGTGAAAGCAATAAAGAAACATTTTGGATTGAATATCAAAGACCAACACAAGTAAAAAACGAATTTGTTAAAAGTTTTTATTGTCAGCTGACTGAAAAAATAAAATTTATTTACTCTTTTTCACTACAGTAGTACTGAACACTTTTCATTAATGATTAAAAAAAAGTTGATAAGATTTTAAAAAGGAATTTATAAACGATTTATAATTATAAACGATAACAGATATCAAGTTAAGTATATCAAGTACTGAGCGCTACATTACATACTTACGCAAAAACTCTCACTACAAACGTTGTCAGTTGTAATAAACAAATATTTTTCCTCTCCTTAGATTAGGACTGCAAAACTGTGATTTATTGCATTGAACCGGGCGATAGTCGTGGACAATCATGAATCCAGAAATTCAGTTAAATTTAATAAATCGAACGATATATGTATGTTTTCAATGCACATAAGAAGCACATATTGAACACATTTGTGTGATACATATGATCGCAAATTGCTTCAGATAATGGGCACTATCTAAACATAAGTAATGAGGCGGGACCAAAAAAATATTCTTTAGTTCCTTTAAAGAACAATGACACTATTTTCAAGAAAAATGTCGAACAACAGATATGAATCGCACTGATATGCAGATTAAGGTTGCACATATATATATATATATATATGTATACATATATATATGCATACGTCGCAGCATCTCCACACTAAGTTGCTGGCAACTAAAGAAGCCATGATGAAATTTCTGTACATATATATATATGCATATGTCGCAGCGTCTCTACACTAAGTTGCTGGCAACTAAAGAAGCAATGATGAAATTCCTATACATTTGTCATCTTCCTTATACAAACACCCATGTTTGCGTACATGTAATTATAATTTATTTTAAAGAAGTTTAGAAATGAGAAGAGGGTAACAGATGTGATATTTAGTGGTGAAAACTTGACTTTCTTCTAAAAGTTCGATGAAATCAAGTGAAGCACTTTCTCAGCAAGTTCGGCGCAAAGGTTTCAAAAAAAGTATATTTTTATAAAAAAATTATCCACTAAAAAGTGCAAACATACTCACTTATCAACTCCCATGACGACAGTGATTAAAAAAATGAAAGGAAAATATATACGCTTCGATTTATATGCAAGTATTAAAAAAGGAAATAGCAAAAGGAATCACTCAAACTCTTAACAAAAAGAAAAAAAACGGGAAACCCGAATAATAACGAGAACTCCTTAGGAGTAACACTTGCACAAAGTTGAACGTTCTGTAACCAACTAACCAAGAAACAAGGGAAAACGGACTATATGTACTTGCATTAAGGTGACCGCATGTGCTCGTTTTAAAGATGGTAAACTTTATCAAGTTCTATACCTCGATATTTGGAATGGGTTGAAAGCGCGAAAGAAAAGATGTTAAAATTTTCTTGTTTTCTTGTATTCCCCGCAAACACACGCCTCTCTGCAAGATTTGCTGGTCACCTTAACATAAACGTTTTATATTGTATATAAACTGATATACAATTTATATTAATCTCTTATCATACACTCATTTCCAATACCAATGCGACTGCAGATCATCTTTCGATTAATTATTTAACTTGCTTCTACCAATTTCCAAGGAAGTTTACTTATTTATTTAATATTTTGCCTGTCACCTACCCGCAAAATTACGCCGGCTTTCAATAAAAATTTTTATAGCGCTGCAGCAGCAGCAACATTATTATTTGGCATTTATGTACGTACATGCAAAGAGTAAATTTCCTGAGAATATATGCGAATACAATGCGAAAAAAAAGTATAATTTGATTTAGGTAAAGAAGCTACACTCCTTAAAAAAACAAAACAAGGAATATTTTTATGGGAATATATGAACAATAATCATAACATTAAATTAAATGTCGAGATACGAGCCACATGTGGATGATGTTAGCAAAATGCGATATTCAAAATGAATTCCACACTAAGTGATTGCATATTTCTAGCTGTTACAAATGAAATGACGAACTTAGTGCAATGTCGCAAGAAGCAGGTAAAAAGAATTGCGTAAATATTTATAGATATTGATAACAAACAATTGACGCCTTGAACAATAAGGCGATAAACGAATTCATTGCAAAAACTGAAAGCAAAAACTCTATGATGAAAGAAGAACATGCTTCACATGGTATACGTTATGCAGTCTCGGACCGTTTCAGTAGTTCATCACATATAAGCAAGTAGTTGTACAGACATAAGCTGTCTATTAAAAGTAACTAACACTATTACTAATACAAGAACCAATATTTGTTTAAACTGTCCAATGCATAGAGCGAGTAAAAAATAATATTATCGGAAGACAAACATTTGCTACCTCAACAAATTATGTACAACTAGCAAGAGAACCGTGGCAAATTTTTTCGCTTTTACCATATATAGAATATAATAAGAAATTTTTATCTCCGCATACGTTGTAATGAATGTAATGAAGACACGTCTGTAGACACGTATTTTGACGATATGGCCTATTTTCCACACCAATCCGAATGCTGCAGCTTGTAATGTTTCTGCTAAGTTTAAAGACGATATTTTAATAGTTGCGACCAAGAGCGTTTTCACTATAGGTGTTATATAGGCATGTCCAATTAAATTCAGAATTTTATCCTTCTCGATCTGAAAAGCTTTCTTTTTGAATTTTATACTTGTTAGATCTGCAAAGCTTTCTTCTTAAAGTTTTAAACATCTTGACAAAATTATCTTTTCTTCATTCTTAGATGGCGAGCGTAAAAATAGAAAAGCATTCAAAAAATTGCAGGCATCCCTGCAATCTGAATCGGATTGTAATTTTTGAATCTAGTTTTTTGAAGGTTTTCGATTTTGAAATCTTTTCTTTATAGGATGTAGGTTAAGTTCGCCCATTTGTCGTAATACAAAGATATTTGCATAAGACTTTCCATTAAGTCTATAAACTTCTGGTAAGTATTAGCAGTGAAGAAGATATCGGTCTGTCTACATACGCAATATGCTTATCTTATAAATGGACGTAGTTCGCCTAAACAACTATGATGTCTTGTCGTCCACACTGTTTGACACCAATTCAAATTTATGGATGCGAGTTGCGCACATACAAGACTCGTTTACATAAGCAACCAATTTTCTGCACGATATTATGCTATGTAAATACACGAAAGATAAGCAATTCATCGCGGGGCGGATATTAACAACATTCGGTAAAAATCAAAACAAATTTTTTCCTCACTCCTAAACGACTGCTGGTCAAAATTGTTTATATTCCAAGAAGTCCCTAACTTAAGTTGCTGATGCTTACCAAAAGAACGATGGAATATGTGTATGCATTAGCGGACTTATAGGATCTCAGAAATGCAAGCTTAGTTTGTAAAGATATGCAGATGGAATTTTGCGACGAAATCTGACGAGCTTATCAAAGCATCTCTTAAGTATACTAAGCAGTTCGGAAAAGAGTAAAAGCGAATGCATAATTTTTATTAGAAAAATGCAAGAAAAGAATGCAAACATACTTACTTATCAATTCCCATGACGATGATAGTTAAGAAGAAAAATTTATGTGTATATGTTCGTATATATATAAGTACCAGAAAGCACAGTTAGAAAAAACTTTCTTTTAAAGGAAGAAAACTCTCTAATAAGGAAAAACTTTTTTAAAATAATACTTTCACGAAAATCAACGTTCTGTATACAAATAACCGAGAAACAAAGTGAAGTGGCCTATAAATACAAGTATTAAGGTGACCATACGTCCATCTTCCGAATGTTACAAAACTTGTAAAATTTTAATCATTTTAATCACATGTAGTTTAAAACCTCAAAAAGATGATATTAAACACCTCCGGCGTCTTGGTCTTCGTCTCCACACTCATTTTCTTTTAGAAAATACTGGTCACCTCAACGTAAGATGTGTTTTTTTTAATTTAATTTAATCTCTTAACAGCTAGTTCCACTATCCATCCGATTCCAAGTTGTTTTCTTCCTTTTTTTAATATTTAATTGCTTTCTCCTTGATTTAAAAAGAAAATTCCGTCGACATTAAGTAAATGAACATCTCTTTACATCTGACCGCTACGATTTGCAACATTTTTAATTAATTTCTTATACTCGTACTATACACAACTCAACGCGAACAAAGAATCAATTTTAATTTTGAAATGAATTAAAAAATGAATGCGGTTTATAAGCGAGTTAGGGGAAACTTTTAAAATTTCATTTAAATAAGAATCCCCGAATTCCCCGAATCTGAATGGATTGTGCTAGCTTATCGCTTCACTTAGGTTGAGAGAGTAAAACGAATTCTTCGAAGATTTTGAACAAAAATGTCCTAAGGTCCTCGCAGAATATGGGATAAACTTTAAATTTCAACTCTGATGTTGATTGTAGATTTACATTGTGCATTTTCGGATAAAGACGAATTCCCATTTCTTTAGCCTCTCTATGGTATATTGACGTAATTATATATGTATACAAATTAGAGAATGTTAAAAGTTGTCTGCAAAATAAAGTTCAAGTTTATTGCTAAACGGCATGTCTCAAGTGAAAACTGACCCCGATTGGAAGCGTATCGGAATATATTTACTAAGTTTGCTGGATAGACTTGGCTTTCTCTAGATAGCTTTCAGCGAATGGTAAATATTTTGAAGCAGTTCTCTGTTTGCAAATTATTTGCAAATTTCACTTCTAATCAAGGACAAAAGGGAGAAGAGAAATTCCGCACTAAGGACTCAATTATAATTAAAATTATTTTTGGAAATTAACTTACATAAGGTAGTAAAAGTCTTAAAGTTGAAGGGCAGACGCGTGCTCCTTCCTTTTGTTTATTCGAAATAGGTACAATAAAATAAATCATGTCTTCAGAAAGCATCACCGGTAATATGTTTTCGTATATCAACAATGGAATCGGGCAAATGTTTAGCATCGTAGAGTATAATCTTTCGATAAGGTATTAGACCTTTCAACCAATCACCGGAATAATCTGCATCAGATACGTCGGCAACTGAATACTCAAAAGAGTCTACAGCTTTCTGCACAAGTAATTCTTCCTCCGCATTAACGTAGTAATCCTGTTTAGGCTCATTCTCTTTCGCCTCTTTACGATATATCTTTATAATCATGAGAAAATAAACGAAATCATATTTAACATTTTCACTCTGGGCAGCCGTAATTTCTTGTTGTAAATTCTCCAATAATGGTATTGAAATCTTGGCCGGTATATTCAAAAAACGCTCATTAATCAGATAGCCAATCGGGTGAGCTTCATTGTCTAGGGCATCGCAAAAATTTTTGAATGATGTATTATTGGTACTTTTCTCAGCTTTTTCAATTAGAAAAGAACGTAATTCTTGGAGACAACGTTTATTGGCAATATCTTCTTTGTCAGTAATATTTAATACTGTAGTTATACCAAAAATGGTACGGTGATATTGTAACGGATTCTCACCGCTTACATTTCCGTCATCCAACTCATTACCATTGTTATCTGATTTATACTGACGTATAACACTACCGATAAAATTTTGTTCTATACATTGTAAAATTTTTTCATGGAGCTTTTTTTTTTTTTGAGACAATATTTTATAATTTTTACCTATAATTATTTCGGACATTGCCTGTAAATCGATATGAGCCTTAAAAAAAACCTTTTGCAAAAGCCGATAAATGCCACGCCAATCTGGATCCGAGGGCTTGCAATCCTCAACATCGATCTGAACACGCCGTATTTATTTAAATATGTTAATTTTTCAGGTAATAAAGACATTACCTGATGGCTTGAACATAACTCGGAATGCGGCAGATCATCTTCACTGTCCATAATATCTTCAATGAAATCTTCTTCTATTTCATTTAAATTTTCGCTCTGTTTAGAAGACATTTTTGAAGTTCAAACTGCTAAGAAAATAAAAATTTCAAAAGTTCTTCTGGCTTCTGTCCCTTCGATATAATATGAAATGATAATTGTTAGACTGAGCTGACGTTTAAAAATATGAAACAAATTGTCAGGGTATCCCGATTTATTTTACATTTTCAAATACAACGTCTGCTTATTTCGCTCTTTAGAGAATACCGTAACGGAATTGAACGTGAAGAAGCAGAACAAAATTATTCATGTGTTCATACCTTCTGTTAAAAGTTTCGTAGTTCTGTTATTAAATAGATTATACTGCCAGAATTATCTGTGAATATAAACATAGCAAGAACTGTGAGTCAATGTGTGTTTTCAAAGCTTATAATTATTGTTACTACGAAAGAAAAAATTTAATACTGATTTCACATCCAGTTTACTGCAAGTTTTGAATGAATTTTAATTACTCCATGGATCCAATGTAGACACTAAATAATCTCAGGTAGTGTTTCAAATTCCTTGAAAATCCCTCCGTCTAAAAAAAAAACCAATCGAAACCCGATATATAGATTTATAAAACTTCGTGAACTCCAACTGATATACTTAAAAGTCGATATAAGCGCTTGTCTCTTTTGATACCTTATATTAATATTGTTCATAAAATAGGATATACATTTAGTTTATAAGTATTTGTATATATAACTTACATATACTATATTCATAAATTTGGGTGCCAGACGTGCGAACATAAGCGAAGCTTTATTGTATCAGCCGCTATGAACGTATGTAAATTGCATGAATGTAGTTTTGAAAATGTGGCCTGCTATTTATAACATAAATAAGAACAAATATTTTTTAGGTTAATTTGTTTATGGATGTTATGTTTTTTATCTGAATTTTATTTAGTTCAATTGAACGACGTAGAGAACTTAACGTATACGTGAAAAACTGTTAATGTTTTATAATTTTCTACATCTTCCAATTTGAAATCATTATCCAATCATCCTTGAAACGTATATCGCACCATCCCCAAATAATTGGATGCAAGGAGCATTACATATGAATTTTACTCATCATTGAGCAATATTTGAATATGATCGACGAATTAGCTTTTCATTTCAATAACTTAGAAATCACACCCCGGAATTTCGACTCCGAAAATAAATAAATGTACAACGAGCCATCCATCAGAAAACCTTGTGATCGTAATTATGATTTTAATCAAAGAAATTACCACCTTTAGCTGTATAAAAATTTTTAGTATATTAAAGAGCTTTTTTTTTATTAACAATGTCAATATCATATCACTTTTTTATACCTATGAGAACTTCACTCTCCTTTAACTTGTTTTCGAATATCAATAATTAAATCGGGTAATTGTTTAGCATCAAACAATATAATCTTACGGTAAGGTATCAGATTGCCATCGGCTTTTAACCAATCGCCACCCATGCCCATATCAGATTCATCGACAACGGAATACTCAAATGAATTTATAGCTTTCTCCACCAGAAGTTCTTCTTCAGCATTAGTGTAGAAATCCTGATGGGGTTTGCCCTTTTTGCTTTCTTTGCGATATAACTTTATAAACATTAAATAATAAACAAAATCAAATTTCATGCCTTTTTGGTGGGCTTTAACAATTTCTCTTTCAAGATTCTCAAGTAGTGGCACCGAAATTTCTGTCGGTATATTAATAAAACGTTCATTAATCAAATAACCTATCGAGCGGGTTTCATCTCCAAAAATATCCCGGAAATGTTTTACAACAGCGTCAGTGGCGTGTTTTTCCGCCTTTTTGATAATAAATGCACGCAATTGGTCTACGCAGGGTGTATCTTTTTTTGCGGTAATATTCAATACCGTAGTTATGCCAAATATAGTACTATCATCACACATATCATCGTCCACATCACTTTCAATTCCATCCGATTCACATTGACTTATAACACTGCCGACGAAATTTTGAGCTAAAGTATAGAGAATTTTTTTTTTAACAACTTCTATCGAACTATTTGTAAACTTTTACCTATAATTAATTCCGCCAAAAGCATGCAATTGACATGAGCTTTTAAAAAGACTCGTTGCAGGAGTTGACAAATACCGTGAGAATCGGGATCCGTTGGCGCTCGGCCCTCAAAGTCTATTTGAACTTGCTAATAGGAATGCATGTTTATGAATATTATATCTTTAGATACCAAGTTTATAACCTCGTTGCCTGCGTAAGCAAGATCATCGTCTTCACTCGCACCGCTTGATTCCGTGTCATCGTCACTAACCTCTTCTTCCATTTTATGTAAATTTTTATTTTTCTTAGATGACATCTTAAAAGTTGTAAACTATAACTAAAATATAACTATTATTATTGCTATGATTATTATCACTTATTTAATCCAGTCAAATAGATAATAAAATGAAACCAAATATTGTAAGGTATATGAATGTATATAAGTGCACGTTTTTTCAATGAACAGCTGATTCGAGCTGTGTTATTTATGAACAATTTAAAGGATGGCAGATTATCGATAAATTTACTGCCGTAATTATTAATTAGGCAAAAGTAATAATCTCATACTAATTTGATGTGGAAGAAATCAAAAATCGCGAACGTAAGGTGAACTCTTCTTTAACAAAAAAAGATATAACAGAAAACAAGTTGACTTGGCTTTAAATACACTTTACGAGAAATTGATACGAACCTTACGGTCTTGCTAGTGCATATACTCGCATTTTAATAGAGGAATCAATCAATCTATCTGATGGCCACGAACTTTAGCAGCAATTCCCCTTTGAGAATAAGCGTATACAATTATCAAGAATTTTGCATGTATAGGTTATAGGTTAAAAAGCTTTATTTTTATAATAATGATTATAATAGCAGCAATATTTGTGAATGCAGAAGCTTTCACTTGACCGTTCTTCAAAATTTCGAAAGAATTTCGGAAAGCTTTTGTAATAATCGTTACCGTGTCGCTGTCGCTGTTGATAGGCTTTTTTTAGAAGACATAAAAATTTTGGAAGTGTTAAAAAAAATTCTCAAAATTATATCCCCAATCAGAAATTTAGTTTTTCATCTCCCCAGTAGAAATCACTATCGGGGGAATAAAATTATTTGTTCAATTTTTTAATTGTTTACATTTTTCAACTCTGTCTCTGTTAAAGGGCAATTATTTTCTAGCTTTTAACTCCGAATGCTTCTAATTTGCCTTACCGTAATAAAAAGTACAAAAAAATAAACAAAGAAATAATAATAAAACAGCTGATTTAAGTCTGCTTCACATTTCTGGGATTATTAGGAAAAAAAATAAAAATAAAGTAAGGGAAATATCTGTAGAAAAATTAAAAAGTCTTTAACAAATTAATTTCACGAAAAAGATAATGCATACAGACCTATCGCCGCATTTACATACACAGCATTGTAATCAGTTAATAAACGAATTAAAAAAGTGTCACGAGGAGGTTAGTATAATTGCTATAACACTTTTATATAATATTTTTGCTTTCTTTCTTTCCACCTTTGCCGGTTTAGAATAACTTTTCCAAATTCATAGGAGCCTGTAACAAATTTGATTCAGCTGTCGTCAAGTGTCTTAAAAAGGAACGTATAGCCCGTTCGGCAGCTAATCGAGCTAAAGCGCGACAGAGGCAAGCAGATTTAAAGAGCAGAGAAAATCAAGCCTTTTAAGTTGACAATTATGGATTCGGATCAATTAGCTGCCTACTATTATCAAGATGAAGAGCAAGTAATATGCGGGCAAGTGATACCGTCTATTACAGAAGATTACAAAGAAACGGAATTTCCATCAATGGTGGACCGTTTCTTTACACGATACTATTATCTCAAAAAAGGGGCCGATCTGGCGCCGTATAAAGTGCTTTTTCACTCTAATCGTGTTTGTTTGATTTGCCTAGCCAACGAACATCCGGCGTTTACCGAAGGGATTGCTAGCGTTAATTTTGATATTGGACATTCGGACCGGAGTAAAAACGCGGTTAAAGGTAAAGCAAAAAAAGGCGGCATGGTTTTACAGGCTGACTCAACTTTGGCGTTGTTAACGACTAAAACAAGCAAAGTTTACAAAATTCCCAGTTGTGTCCGTAGTAAACTAATCGAAGTTAATGTCGATTTGCAGACTTGTTGCGAAAAGCTGCAAGCGCCCGAAGGCGAAGGTTTTATAGCAATTGTGTTACCTAAACCGGAACATTGCGAAGAAATCAAAGCCGGCCTTATGACACAAGAACAATATGATGATTATTTGCGTACGATTAAAGAAGATAAAGCGGAATAAACATTTTGTGTTATGGGCTCAGAATTGTTATTGGTTTTGCAATTAAATAAATCTTGAAAGAGTTTCTACATGTCGTTTTTTGAGTTAAGAGGACAATAACGTTTAAAAAGTACGAGGCCTACGTGTTAAATTTTATAATGACAATGTTCGTTGTTCACTTCTTGAAACCTGATTTAAATTGGCAGCATTTCAATGTCTACGAGACAATGACTAAATGTTGCTTTGTTTTCGTTTTATTAATTCGTTATTATTATGATAAACTTGTAGCATTGCACTTGAATCTTATGTTAACGTTTAATTTACTTTGCATGTACGTAACGAAAAAATCACAGGAAATGAAAATTATCCGGTTCTCTAATGCACAATATATAAATAAATATAAATATATATATATATATACAGGCATCACCCGCTTAACACGGCTATGGAAAGTCTGGTTTCAATAAAACATTGCACAAACTTTTCGAATAATATAACGCGATCTCAGAAAATCGAATACGAATTCTTATTTTATCGTGAGTAGGGGAGGACTGGCGGTGATTTGAATGAAGATTAACTTTGTGATCGTTGGCATTATGCTTTGAATATATTTTTAATATTTGCAATTTATCATAAATTTCAATTTCATAATTATTTGTTTTATGAAACCTTTCCAAGTTAACCTACTTTTTCATTTATTTGCAAAGTTAGAACGAAATTTCATAATAAAATTTCCGTCATAAAATTTTGCAACTGGGACTTGGTTTTGGTATAACAATGCACGCGTTTTCAAAATATCTTCTAACCCGAATTACGAATTAACAGCGTTAAGCGGGGGATGCCTGCACTATTATACATATAAATTTCTTCATGTAATCATTTAGATTTAATTTAGATAATCGAACAGTTATTCATAATATATTTTTTATATAAATAAATCTCTTACTCAATTCGTTTAATATAGCTTACGAAGCATTTTATTAACAAATATTAAGAAAAAAAAAAAAGACATCATGAAAGGTATTCCAAAGAGAACTAATATTCTCGATTTTGATTCGATTTTAATATTCGGTTGTGCTAAAGGTACTAAACAATACCAGAGTTCGGTTTTCTATGTGTGAAAAAATCTGATTGGGTAGGCAGGCTATAGGCTGAGTAGTGTCTTAGTGTCCTCACTGCTGACTGAGTACGTGAGCAGAGTTGCAGTTCATATAAAAGTTCAATTGGCTGCTATTGCCTAAAGGTGATCATTTTTCTTTTCTTCAGGAAAATGCTCATATTTCTCGACCTTCTCCTCCCTGTGTCTTGCGGTGATTATTAATCTGTAAAATGTCATCTCGAAGAAATAAACTATTCCACTTGCACTCGTCTCCCTCCTGGAAAATGTGATCTACTGAACGGTCAGCAGAAAATTTCTTTTCAATCTTTTTCTTTCTAACGACTTAATTTTCCGATAACAATCCTTAGCTTTCTCAGTTCGTGCATTCAAGTTAAGTTCAAAGCATTGATGCTTTCATGTCAGCCATTTTTGATGGGTGATCAGACGGTAGTTTAGAGCAACATACATCTGTGTTGATCTCAAAGAAGTTCAGGGCGGATAACTAATAAACACTAAACGCCTAAGTATTTTCTCTTTTTTTGTCTCCGCATTTCATACACATCGTAAAGGATATGCGGCGAAGTAAATCTCTAGACATGACATTTTAAAGTACCCTTATAATTATAAAGAGCGTCTGCTACGACTGCTTGTATATTTTCAAACGGTAATGCAGAGTGCGCGCTTCCATCATTAAATGGTGAATTTGGAGGAGCATAAATATCATATGTACCGAATAATCTCAACTGAAGTAAATGGCAGTGGATCAATTCTCTGAAAAGGCGATCACATTATTGCTTATTATATAGAAGTTTTGAGAATTTTATTAAAAAGTTATAACATCAGCTTATCGACGCATACCTTTTACATAAATTGCTATATTTTATATAATGCTAGACCTGTTCTGAACATGTTTATACATGAAAGGGCAACATTCTTATAAACATATTTGTATATAGTGGAACCATCATAATATGCGCTTTAACATTTTTCTCACAAGTCAGATGTGGTTTTTTTTTTTTTGTTTCATTCGTTTCAAGTAAAATGAAACATCTACATTTATTCTCTATTCAAGTTCATGTATATTCAATTCAGATGTGGTTAAAGAAAACAAACAGTTTTGTGTATAATATTTATAAGCGCGGTTATTAGCTGCATAAGAGTGCTGGTTAAAAGAAATACCGCTGAAAAGTGAAATTTACGTTAAAATGTTCAATTATTTGATTTGGGTAATAATTGCGCAATTTTTCTTATCTTGCTTTTTATGCCAGAGAAAGTTGAAAAAAAAAGCCACAAATTAGATATTAGTTAACTCAAAATGTAATCTGGGAAAAAGTTAGAAAAAAGAAAAACAAATATATCACTTGATCAATTATAACAAAAATGATTCGATTTTGATTGATGGAAAATGCAAACTCGACCAATTTCGAGAATCGTTCGTCGATCTTACATCGAATACACTAATTTGCTTTAATTTCGTACCTTGTGTTCGGGAAAAATGGAGTCATTGTCTTAAAAATTACAAAAATACAATGAAACGATTTATTAATATTCGGCATTTTATTTACGAAAGTACAAGTCGTCTCAAGTTATATAAAGAAATCGTTCTTAAATATCTTAAAAACAAAAAAAAAAAAAAAAAAATTTGAGTCACAAAGAATCTTTGCAAAGCAATCTTCTGTTTCTTCGGTATAGGTGGAGACTTCACACTTAGAACAATGAATAAAAAATATTCTAAAAATATGACTCCAAATTTAGCAATTTTTGGGACTTAGTTGGAAAAATTGATTCAAAAGAAGAAATAAAAATTTTTCCTTTAAAAAAATCGCACTATATTCTGCAAATTTTTATCTAGATGAAATGCTTATTATGCGGCTAACGGTAGAGATTCCAAAGGCATAGCTTTCGAGAAGAGCGTGTTTAACCTTTCAAGTTTAACTTTGAAGATGCTTTTGTTTTACCCTTTACAAGGAATGCCTGCATTGTACAATGAATGGAAGCACATCTGTTAACATTGCAGGATTGTGCTTGCATTCAACGGCTTTTTGCACTTTATAAATTGCCCAGCGCACTAAAAACATTTATTATATGATTCTAAAACTATTTGAAATTTCTACGTTTGCCTGAGTCGTTTAAAGATTCGCCAGATAAGCATTCCTTCTTCACTTTTTGATTAGCTTTTTCAAGAAGTGTTTAAATCATCATGCGCCTCGGCGCATTTTTCTCTCAAGCGTACGCTCTACTAACATAGGATACTGAGAAAGAGGTTGTTTTTCTTCAAACGCATTTAACATTATGTGCAAGTAGAGAAAACGAAATGCATAGATGTTTCAACATTTTGGACAAAATTGAGTTTAGGAGATTTTTTTGCACTTTTGGTGTATCTGCTATCAATAACGGTAGTAGCGATGTTAATTGGCAGCCCTTCGAATGTTTGCTCTTTCGTTCTTATTATTTGGATGGGCACAGATTCTGTTAACAGTTTCTTAATATGACATCGCCTTCGTCGTCTCAAACGTTTGCAAAGTGAACGACCATAGGCGCTACTTACTGGACTTTACGTTAGTGGTCTTATTGTGCAATAATTCGAAATCCTTGAGTTTTCTAAGTGGAAAAAGGAAAAAACAGTTCAAACTGCTTAAGCATAAGGACTAGTTTTGAATATTTTATTCCCTGTTTAGTTATTTAGCTTTAGAACACAAAAAAGGTAATAATAATATAATATGAATAGAGAACTCACATGTGATATAGAAAATTGGATATAAATTTGTAAGCAAAAAGAAAAAATATGTATATGTATACAATAATATAATAATATAAAATAAATAAATTAGGTAAAGATAAATACAATAAGCTGCACGATAATCTCTTTTATTAATAAAACAATTTCTTCATATTTGTTGATATGAAAATTGTCATTTAAATTTCTTAAAGCGTTTGGCGTACCCAGAATTTCGAATTTTTCAAAATAAGCAATGAAAAGAGAACAATTTCAGTACAGATGTACTTATATTCACTTAAAAATGCAGAATTGTATTTGTTACATGTTGCAAACGTTTGAGAGAAAGCGACATCATATTAAGAAACTGTTAACGAATCTGTGCGCGTAAAAATAATACGAATGAAAGAGCAAGTATACAAAGGGCTGCTAATTAACAGCTTGACTACTGTTATTGATAACAGATGCACAAAAAATTGCTAAGAGTCTCCTAATCTCAATTTTAACCAAAATGTTGGAATATCCATGTAATTCGTTACACTTACTCGCAATGCTACGCTACATTATATGCAATTAATGTGCATGCTCGTGTTTGCACTTCTTTCCTTTCTTTATTTGGATGCTGGCATAATTCATTATTGCAATATTACTAATATAGGTGAATACATCTTGACTATGTATGTATGTATGTAGGGTTTTAGTTCTCGGCATTATGGTAGAGGTTTTATTTGCGTTGCTTATGGTTTTTCTTGATTGATTTCGATCGTAATCGATTCGAATTTGTTTTCTGTTAATGAGGTACGCGTGTTTTATATCTGTCAAGCATGACTATCTTTTAGGAAAATATAAAATGTACGCGGATTGCAAAGTTTTTAATATTGCAAAGAGACCAAACCTCAAAGCTATCATTAACTTTCATTAATGTTTATTAAGACAGTGAGTCTTTGTGACACCACCTTTTAAATACCGACAGAAATTGGAAAATGTGTTTCTCTCGCCGTTAAAAAGATACGCATCCGTATGTTTATTTCACATACACAAATATAAGTAAAGGCATATGTTGCTGTCTATCAAAGATCAAAGATCAAAGTTTGTTAGCTTTTTCTTCTTCTTCTTGTATGTAATCCACTCTTTTCAATCAAATTAAGTATGTTATTTATTTATTAAAGTTAATCCAAGATTTTTTTTATTTTTGCTTTTTCAGATCACTATTTTGCTGGCAGTAGCAAGAGTTGAACTGAAGTCTCTGTTTGATTACAAGTAAGAAAAATTATACTTGTTTTTTAATTACTATAAAATTTATTTTTTTTAAAGCATCAATAATCCCGAGTATGATGAAACGCAATCTAATGCCAAAAACGATTTTAAATTTGATGCTCTAAACGGGCATTCAAACAAACAATTAAGCAAACGGAGTCCACCACCACATGCCAAGGCCTACGGTCGGCGAGCTCACAACGGTCACGGCCCAGGTCATGGCCGCGGTCCACCTCATGAAACAATTTATTACTATGAACCACATTACTATGAAGTACATTATCATGTTCAAGGTAAGTTTTTATTGAATAACATTGAATTCTCAACATAAATAAATCTTGAACAAATATGTGTATGAAAAGATCCTCCTCCGTATTCGCCTTTTCCTATGACGAAAGGTGATCGTTTAATGACTACATACGAAACTCCAAAGAGTCCATTACCGTCCCGCCAATTACCGGAAATTGTAGAATTTTCCACAGCGAAACCGACGACACCAGCTGGTGTCTTCTGGGAACCTGCGAATAAAGGGACTAAAAACGATGAATTAATTCACGACATTGATGTACGTCTTGGTGATGGTTTGTGATTCAATCGAAATTTAAATGAAAATATGGAAAAAATCATAAATGGTTTAAAACGAATCGTTGAATATTTATAGTACTAGTTGCTTGCCCTTTTTATTTTGTCTAATAAATACATAGTGGAACTGAAGAGACCAAAAACATATGACAGTATTGTAAGCGTAAGGGTAAAACTTATTTGCTATGCATGCTCTTTTGTAGGAGAACGCTAAACACATTTAAATCGTTCTTGATGAAGGGGGAGGGTTAGTCGGTAATGATGGGTAAATTTCGCATTTTCAGATTTATAATTAGGTTCTCATGAGTTTCGATCTTACTTTGGTCAGAGGTTGTTGTTATTGTTTTCAAAAAAATGTTGCAGTGATAATCGTGCATTTAAAAGATTAACGGACAGACAGTGTTTAACTAATTTGGTTCCGTATGTGAAAGACACTGTACAGCCTCTGTAGTCTGCGTGTTCGAAACGTTTTGTCATTGTGCATGTTTTTAGTTTGATGGAGTTATAAACATTATCTCTTCTTCTTTATTTTTTATTTTTGTCTTGTTTTATAAAGGAACTCGTTTATGAACACTTTCGTATAAAGATTTTTTCGCTTTTTTTTAAATATTAATTTTTTTTCCTTTAATTCGTACAAAGAATAAAAAAGAAAAAATAAAAAAGAATAAATCAAATCAATAAGAATAAATCACATGAATAAGAATAAATCATAAGAATAGGAATAAATCATATGAAGATAATAGGTAATATGAGTAAATGAAAACTTGTTTCAAACTTGAGCTTTATTGGTGTTTAAAAGTGCGCTCAAAGCAGCCGGGAGCAAGTGGATTTAAGAACATCTAACGGTAAGTTTTGTAAGAATTATAAAGTAAAGCTCTCTACCTTGCAAGTTCCCCCCCAGCGCGTTGAGAATCGTCTGAATTCTACCTCCTTCTCGGAGATTTATTCCTTTTAAACACTTTATAGCAATTTACACTACATTTTCAATCCACTTCACTCACTCAACCTGCAGTTGACAATTTTTCGGTTCGTATTGTTAGTTTTTCCTTTTTGGAATGGGTTGCCATGGTGATGTAACTAAAATCCAAGCCTTCAGTACATTTAGGGCGAGTTTAATCAATATACACGTCATGATCTGTCCATACGTCCTTATCGAATTTAGACATAAAATTGTTATTATGGATGTGTATTAATTATGCCAATGTATTTTAGAAAACATTTTTATCATTTTGTCAAGTCGTCTCATTACAAAGTAATTTCATATTACATATATTTACACACTTTCTGTTTGACGAGTATACAATTGTATCGCTAAAGAGGGGTCGGCACAGTTAACTAGTTAATATTGTTTAAATAAGCTGTCATAAAATGCTTTGCCGGATTCGTTGTCATATGAATACCGGTATAAGCATTAAAAGAATGCAATGTTTGCGTTAAGGAAGGCTAAAGAAATGCTCTAGATGATCAAAGGCTTCGAAAATGCTTGATATAATTAAAAAGCAATCAATAATTGACTTTAATATGTATGCATGATTTCCCCGGATGAGGAGGACGGGACAAGTCCAAAGATGCTATAAGGAATAAATAGTAAAATAGTAAAATCGAACAAAAAGACATGTTCTTTACTACCTCAAGATGAGTTCTCTTTACAGCACACTGGCAAAATATCGAACTGATTTTTCATCTAATGACAGCAATTTTTGATGGCTGATTGATGCATTCAAGCGACATTGTGCAGAAATTTCTGCGAAAAGTTGATTCCCTCTAACCAAAGTGGAGATTAACCACAACCTCTCAAAGTCCGGATTAATCCCATTATTTGTGTGTGTATGCAGGTGTGTAAATGACAAGGTCTCGGATATCTATTTTCGGATTTTATAAATGTTTAATAATCTTATCTAGTTACTTAGACGCTGGTTATAATTAATAAAATTATTAATTACGTACTTTAAAAGCAATTAATTATACATTTAACGGCTTAAGAGTTGATGTGTAGCTGTTTGCACTTTTAATGGTTAATATAAAATTACAATAATACTCTTTTTAGTTATTCAAAGACATTGCTTGCGAGAATTTTCAAGCTTGAATTGCAAGTAGAAGCAAGAAATCACGAATCGTTATGATGATCTCATAAATTAGCCCTACACCAACTCAGACGTATTTAAAATTCATCTTAAAATTACGATCAAACAATAAAATATTTACGACTGGTAAAATTTCTTACATTTCGGTGGAAAATTTCTCTTACCTGCCAACATTATTCCTGGACATTGTTTCATTTTATTATTATTTAATTTTGTTAAAAAGCAAAACAAAATTGGCATAATTAGGTTATCAAAATGTTGATTATATGCATGGAAAGATTCATTCATTTGCTTGTACAACATTCATAATGAAAGATATAAAGCAAAGATTAGCTTTGGAAGATTCGATGAGAATATCGACGACGAAACCAGTTTTAGCATCCAGTTCCGATAACTGCATATTCCAAAGAAATTCTAGAAGATAAACAAATCAATTATATGAGAGAGAGAGAGAGAGCGAGAGAGATAAAGAGATTTGTTGTTATAAACAAAAATAAATATAATAAGCAATATTTGCATTCGGGCGACTTTCCGACTCACATCAAGTTCAGAAAAATATTTTCAAACTTTTTGTGTGAACATGAACATACATTCATATATGTAAAGTGTATTCATGAGACAATCAAGAATCGTCAACACACTTAGCAACATAAAGGAAACTTTCTTGTGAATTTCCCGATCGTCGTTTTCATTGGACGATCTATCATAAAACTATGTCGATATTTATGTTAAGTCTAATGAAAATAGTCTTCGACATAGATCCCTTTTTAGGGAGAAATTTCCATAAGTGAGTGTATTTGTCGAAGGAGTTTTACAATATTTTATTGAGGACTTCTTCGGTTTAAATTCAAGGTTTTAAAACAATTTCATATTATCTCATCACCTCAAAGCCGTTTAATCATCCTATACCAGGATGAAATGGTTTTGGTAAGCAGCTTGAAGAGAGAGGAAAGATAAACAAATAGGTGGCCGCAGCTTAGTAGATGCGTGCCCGATTGGCAAGTCTCGGCTATACCGACTGACCACTCACTGTAGCTACGACCAAACAAGATTTCATTGACTGACATTGCAGTCGCAGTTCTCATCTACTCGGCTGCTCAGTCGGAGGCTAAAGACTTTTGCACTTTTTTTTGGATTCTATTGGATAGTCGTTAGTACGTTGCGCTGAGTGACAAAATTGACGTCAATCTACTGAATGCTCATTTTCGCTCTGTTCGCTCAGAATCGGCTGATATCGGCCTAAGCATCGAATCGGCCAATACTCACACAACCTCAACAACGATCAGTCATTTATTTTGAGGTTGATTTCGCAACGTTTATTTTACTAGAGAGTATATTGATTATGGGCTCGCTCCGTATAAACGCAATAAATATTATTCTCTTAGAATAAAAATTAGAATTAAATTTTCGTTACCATGATAGTATTTAGCGTATTATTATTTTTTGACTACGAGTACTGGCTTGCTGGCTTTCGCTCTGTTGGTTCGGCCTCTATTAATGCTGATCGTGATAAGCATTTAAACGTCAATCTCGAATGATTTTTGATGATTAGAGGAAAGGTACACGACCTTAAAATCATTAAGTCATCTATAATACGTTAGGATGAACGATGAAGTTGTTTTAGTAAAGAAATAGTTCATTCTCCCGACGCACTAATGTAGTTCTGCTATCGGACTCAAGACATATATTTAATAAATATTTTTAATTTTTAAAGAAAAATATGATTTGCATTAAAGTCCAAAGGGAACGATAGCAGTTAACTTCCCGCGATTACTTTTTAAAGACGGATAGCAAAATAAAGTATTTGAATAACCATAGCCTGTAAAGTGTGTTTTGCTATTTGCGAGAGCAACAATGGATCGATATTTTATCGATCGATATAGATTTTTAAATTGTTTCGGCAATATCATAAAGTATTGACGCAAATGTATCGAAAAGACGTTTTCATTGCTGTTGTCATACTTGGAGAAGTTCTTTAGCTCTTGTGGACATTTGCAATCGGGCACCCGTTTGTTTTCTGAGTTAATCTGCGGACTTGTGTCAAGTTACAGCTTTTTGCAGCAATCTTTGTAACTTTAGAATGTTTACAATGGATTAATAAATAAACGAAGTTGATCACCTTAAGCTACAATCTATTTGCAAAGAGCAAGAATACAAAACTCTGCAAACTTTTCAAGTCCGTCTTCAAATTAACTAGAAAATGCACATTGCGATGATTTATTGGATCGTCGAATAAACTCTTGCAACCTTTTTAACTCCGCTTTCAAATTGACTAGAAAATGGGCGTTAAGAAGGTTTATTGGGTCGTCGAATAAGTTCTTGCCGTTAAAAACAAAATATATATCTCATCTACTTTTTTGTTTATTTTTTTTTTTTTGTGAATAAACGCTACAGAATCGGCAAAAAAATTTGTTCACACGCGTAGTATTTTATTTACGGTATATAACATAAAAGCAGGTCAGCCTGCTCTAAGAATACAAAAGGGTCTCTGGTCTTTATAATAATGCTTTCATTTGAAGTTTGGTAATTCGTTTGTCAGCTATGTTACCTTTGGCAGGTATTTTTGAGCGCTACTGTAAATCTGGTTTCAGTGATACCTAATACTGTGACCAAAAAATCGGACCAGTATTTAAGGTAAGTTGCCGTGGCATATGAACATTCTTAGCTAAATTGGCTGTGATAAACATTTGCGTGGAATTGCACCTTACAGGTACGATTGGTTTTGTACGACACAAAAAGTATTTTTTACGATTTTTTCATGTCTACGAAACTATGAAAGCGACCATTAGGACGTTATGAAACGCATCACCACAGAAGACAAGACTTGGATCTGTGCATACGACCCGGAAACAAACGATCAATCGAGCGAATATAGTTGAGCTAAGACCGACAAAACCATGGCTCAAAAATCTAATAGACGTTAATAGCTTTCTTCGCGTGTCGTGAATTCCATCCGCCAGACCAAGTTGCCAAGAAGGAGTATTATTTGTATTTGATTGTTACTTTGGATGCGATGAAATCGATTTGGAATAATAAATAGACTAAAAACACTTCAGTTAACAGTTTCATTAGTCTGCTCAATTTACGCCCCATGAGTTTCAATAATTTCCACGGAAATTTATTCATCGAGTCTCTTACAGAATGGTTTACTTAACTTACCTTTTAATTAGAGTGTGGTATTGGATTTCAAGCTTAAAATTAAACCAATTACATACACATATCTTTAAAGAAAAAAGAAAATACAAATGTCATAACCAGGAAAGTCATCGTGACAGTAGAGACAAGAAAGAGAGCAAAAATGAAAGAAAGAACAAAAAAAAAAAAAAAAAGATGAAAGACTGATATTACGCGCATGCACGCATATCGGTTGATAACAAAGAACAAAAACTTGTCCTGATCGTGTTGATGAAAATGATTAATAACGAAAAGGCTTTCATAAGCTATTAAAATACAAATTTACAAACGCCTATGTATGGGTAAATATTTTTTTTGCCTTCGTACGCAAACTATTCATTATTCAGCCGATATTCGTATGCGTAACAAGCAAGCAAGCGAGCACCCACTGTTGTGTAGTAAATCATTGTCGAGCGTGCACGAGTGCGTTTATAAAAGCCGGCTTCAAACAAAAGTCTTAAGTTATTTGAAATCATACACTTGTCGCGCAACGATCATCATGGGTAAGAGACGATTTAGCAAACACTTTGTACTTTGTTAGTGACGGTGAATTAAATTTAAGAAAGAAAAAAAAGAAAGGCTTCAAAAAGAAAAATTTTTGTTTTTTTTGTTTTTTGGTTAATACTTAAAAATAACAAATTCAAGTGATTTAATGAACAGCTAACGCGATGGCAATGCTGTAAATGAAAACGTATAAAAAACTTATTAAAATTAAAATATTGTTATTATAAGCAATGGCAAAACAAAAAAACAGAAACGTTTAAAAAATGTTAAATAAAATTTGAAATAATATCTTCTTAACGCGTTATTTATAATGTCAAGTATTCGCTGTTTACGTTGTTGCTGGCGTGTGTGCTTGTTGGCGGCATAAGTTAATTAAGTATTCTATTAGGGTTTCATTTAAATTTCGGTTTTCAATGTTTTGTTTATTAATTTCATTTTTGGAGATCTTTTATATGTAATTTCCTATATATTTTGGCAGCGTCAAAGACATTTTACATTTTTTGTGCCGATTCGATTCATCACCACATCATTTATCAAGATTTACCTTAACAAGAGTGTATTTGGCTTTTTTATTGCCTTTTCGAAATTAAAAAAAAAAAAAAAAAAAAAAACAATTTCTTGCATTATTTGTAAATATTTCGCTTCATATTTTAATAATAAAAAGAAGCTATGGGCAAAGCAGAGCCCTACTCTTTCCGCAGGCGAAGTATTTAGGTGGAAAGATTAATTTTAAAGAAGAATCCGCCGAAAGTTTTATACATGCTTAATTAATACAGACTTTACTTTCATATCGGAGAAATAATCGAACAATTATTTTCCCAAGGATTAAAGATAGAAAGCTTAGCTTAGATGTGTTTAAATGGTGATTAAACATCAGTTGGCGTCCAACGTTGGATTTCCTAAAAGCGAGGACCAAATGTAAAAACTTGCTTTAATAACTAAATGCCAAGTACCATAGCCATAGCCATAAAAACGTTCATATTGTGCCTGGGAATGAACGCATTCATATCGCTTTTGGGAAGGAATCAAGAAAGTGCTTGATCGTAGTAGCTCGATAGTATGCGTGAACCTCTTGAAAATAAACCTCTTCGAAAATAAATCCTATATCGTATATACATGTTTATATCAAGTATATGTGTAGTATATGCTTACAAAGAAAATCGAATTTTATAATAAAAGCATCCCTTTTCATTTGAGTTCTAGTTTAAGTGAGAAAATTGTACATTTTTTTACATCCATCATCTTATCTTGAACAAAGCAATTAAAAACATTATAGTCGGGCAATGGCGACCATTAAATGATCTATACCACATTGTCTAACGAAGTTCTCACTTTTATTACAGAACACAAAAATTATATCTTGTTCCTATATAGAGGCATATTCTTCATGTGCTTATTACTACGGCGAATTTAGAAGGCCGAAATACTAATATTTAGCCACTTTTGCCGAGAAACCTTGAAAATTACAACTTTTTTTCCATATAACGACATTTCAGAATAGGGCCTTACATGGCAAGTGGTCGAAAAAGTGGCCCGTTCCGAACCATTTTCAATAATGTTCGCTGTGTCAAATTTCATCAAAATATCTCAAAAATTGCGACTTGTAGCTCGAGCGCAAATTTACATGGCTTGCAATCCTTTTTTGAATAGATCGGTATAATAAAAGGAGGGCCTATCTTAAGCCCTTTTGGGTTTTACATACGACCGCACCAACTTAATATACCCTGAGCCACAAGTGGTGTGGAGTATAAAAGCAGGGAAAACATTGAGTGGAGGGGTTCGAGTTCCTCTATCATAGTGCAAGGCCTGCGTAATATTATATTTTATAGGATTATTGCGTGTTGTAGTAATTTGATTACTTTTGAGAAGAAAGATATTGTCTGCTTACCTTGCACTCTACTCTCATCCTTTGACAAAATTGACTCAGCTTTGGTTTTGTTTTGTTTTTTTTTTTATAGCGGGCAAATTTTTTGGTTGAAAATAAAACAATCGATCTTCTTAAGGATCTTCTAATTAAGAGAAGCAATCCTTGCTAGTCATGAACGAATTTCTATAATAGGACGAGCTATTAAAATAGATCGAGGGGAAGTGATTATTTTTATATTAATCTTCTGGGATTTCTGGGTGCAAAACTGAATCAAACAATGAATTGGACCGATGGGTTCTATTGCAGTAAATTTTACGTTAACGAAACAACCGATTGTCGGAGAGGGCAATGTGCTCTGTGAGTGGACTGGAACTTCCTTGCTAAGCTGTTTCAATTTTTTTGCTACGAACTCATATCATTTTAGGCGTTCTAACTTCAATAATACCCTAGTAGAAAAATTCAAAAATTTTTCTGAAAAAAAACTGAGTTGTGTTCATTTTACGCTCCGTTGCGCGCTTTTGCTTTGATAAAATTTGTTGTATTTTCAATAGCAACCTGCGTGCAGAAACATCCAATATTTCTACCAAATTTTAAATCACCTTCACTTTTGCGACCAGGGGAGTGACAACAACCCACACCACATAAACACTCAGACGGACGTACTTGACTAAATCAACTCAGAATTTGCCGCTTATCAAGAATATATACAATTTATAGGATCTCTGAAGCTTCCTTTTGGGTGTTACATATATTACGATAAAAAAACAAAATGAGTAGACCCCCATCTTACAGTGGTGGGTATAATAAAGCATATTTTTTATATACTTTTTTAATAATATTGACATTGCGTCGTTATTTAAAAAATTAATACATTATTGAAAAATCTTATACATATACACAAACTGGAAAAATTGGAATAATAACTGCATTAAAACGACTTTAGGTGGTGTATAGTGGAGGTAGGCATACACAAAGTGCGGTTGATAATTCAAAAATATTTTTCGGATGGCTTTTTTATGGTCTTTATACCCAACTACTACGTATTAGTTTTGTCCTGACGTTAAGGACGTTCAACAATACCTCTCTGAGACTCCATATATATATCACTAATGAGTAGATTAAGGTTTTCATCTAATTGTCCACGAGTTATTGGAAGGCTTACAGTTCCGATATTTGATGTAGAAGCCTTGCCGCCATCAGGAAGTAATGAGATTACTGAAGGCATTGAGGTGTAATGTCATACAAATGGCAGTTAGGATCTTGTCAACCCAAAAAAATAGGTAACTATATGGACAAGTCTGTTCAATTTGAACACGAGAGTGTTATAATCCTTTGATCGCATTATCAGTGCATTCATTCCTAATTGATGTCCATAGGTCAAGTTTGAAAATGGGCGCAAGTCACCCGAAAACATGTAGATATAAAGTTGGAAATTATTATATTGTAATACTAGCATTTCCCAGAGTCATTTCAAACTTTCACAGCTAGTCCCAACCGAAAGCTGCTGAAAGGTATGCGAAATTCGTTTCAGATTGAATAGAAATTTTTTAATTACTTACATTTAATTTTGTTTGGTTATTAACACTTGTTCGACAACGCTTATTTGGGGATAGCTTATTACTGAAGTTAGTGGTTTAAGGCGGGATTAGGTAACATCTTAATACAACAGTGACATGAACCAACGCTTTGACTGACAAGGAAATACTGATGCAAGTGTAACTTGGTGTATTAAAAGAAAAGTAATGTTTAGATAACATATTCATTTCCTTGAAATAAAGTCACGTAACGTTATTATGTTATACCTTAAATACAATTAAATTTCGAATACAATAAACTAAATAAAATTGAAAAACTCTTTTGTAAAGAAACGTCGAATGCTTTTCATAAAATTTTATTTACAGATAAAAGCCTTCTAGTACCCTTATTACTATTGGGCGTATTACTGGCAGCAGCTGCTGGCGAGCAAAACGCTCGTATTGTTTGCTATTTTAGCAATTGGGCTGTCTTTCGTCCCGGTGTAGGGAGTTATGGCATCGAAGATATACCAGCCAATCTCTGCACTCATATCGTATATTCCTTTATAGGTGTTGATGATAAATCTTGGCAAGTGTTGATCATTGATCCAGAGTTGGATGTAAAGCAAAATGGTTTCCGCAATTTCACGCAATTGCGTAAAAAACATCCTCAACTGAAGTTGCAAATTGCTGTAGGAGGTTGGGCCGAAGGTGGTAAAAAATATTCACAATTGGTAGCTGAGCGTACGCGGCGCCTAACTTTTATACGAAGCGTAGTTGATTTTATGAAGAAATATGAATTCGATGGTTTCGATTTGGATTGGGAGTATCCGGGAGCTACCGATCGTGGCGGTACCTACGCGGATAAAGATCGTTTTTTATATTTCGTTCAAGAATTGAGAAGAGCCTTCGATCGTGAGGGGGCAGGTTGGGAGATAACGATGGCAGTACCGGTAGCTAAGTTCCGTTTGCAAGAAGGCTACCACGTACCGGAGTTATGCGAGTATGTGATATAACGACTTCCTTTTATCTTCTCCACTGGTTGCTTTTTTTCCTTTTTTGCTTTTGTTAAATATTCGTAATATTTTAGATTATTGGATGCCGTGCATGCGATGACTTACGATTTGCGCGGTAATTGGGCTGGTTTTGCCGATGTTCATAGTCCCCTTTATAGACGTAAACACGACCAATATGCTTATGAAAAACTTAATGTCGTAAGTTAAGATTAATTGACTTTAAAGAAGTATCGGTTTTTTATACCTTTCCCTTTTATTCGAAGCATGACGGTTTGTTATTATGGGAGGAGATGGGTTGTCCTGCGAATAAACTTGTGGTCGGTGTACCTTTCTATGGGCGGACTTATACTTTAAGCCCCTCTAATAAAAACTACAATATGGGTACTTACATTAACAAGGAAGCCGGTGGAGGTTCTCCTGGGCCTTATACCAACGCCAGCGGCTTTTTAGCTTACTATGAGATTTGCACTGAAGTTCAAGACGAATCGAATGGTTGGATCGTTAAGTGGGATGATGCGGGCATGGTACCGTACACCTATCGTGAGACGCAATGGGTGGGTTATGAAAACGAGGCGTCCGTGAAAATTAAAATGGATTTTATAAAGAAACAAGGATATGCCGGTGCAATGACTTGGGCTATTGATATGGATGATTTTCGTGGTTTATGTGGCCATGAGAATGCTTTGATGCAGATTTTGTATGACAATATGAAAAATTATCGCGTGCCTGAACCTACACGCGAGACAACACCCAGGGTAAGTTGATTGCCAATTAGTTGAGGTATTATCGCATGCAATCGCTCTCGGCCGACAATCAAATTCTGTGCCAAGTGTAAAATGAAAATAAATGACATTTTTTCTGGGTATCAATAGTAGAGAAACAATGCAAAACATTTTGTTAAAATCTATTTTTAATTTATATAAATGTTTTTTCCTTTTTTTTATGTATTTATTTATTGTTTTTTTAATTACAGCCAGAATGGTCGAAACCGCCGTCAACGCCACCCAACCCCGACGAGGGCAGTTTGATTACATTGCAAACTACTACTACTACATCAACTATAAAGCCAATAACAACAATAAGACCAAAACGCCCAGCAGCTACAACAAAAGCAACAAAGGTAAGGGAACCGAGTCCAAGAATTTTGGAGTTAAATCTTTTCAAAATTTCTTTTAACATTTATTGTAGAAGCCATTTAAAACTACCAAGAAGCCTTCGCCTACCGTTTGTAGTGAATCCGCACAAAGCGTTCAAAAAGAGCCATCAATACAAAAACCTGCAATTACTGAGCCAGAAGGAGTGGTGATAACAAGCGGCGATTATGAGACCAATAAAATTGATTGCGTTCATAAAGATTTCGTTGCACATCCTGACTGTACAAAGGTAAGTTGAGCAGACTTTCGTATTTTAATTGCAATGACCCATAGCTCTGATATGGTAAAATGACTTATGATATGCGTTGTCAACAAAACAGAGACGACTTACGCTGTATAGCCTGTGAAAGGATCAATATCTTGACAATGACTTTATTAAGAAACCATAAATGATCAACGTTTAGTTTTCTCCATCGTAGACATAGGACCTTTTTAGGAAATCTCTTGCGCTCTTGCTCATCAGTTTCATTGCGGATCACTGCAGACTCATGGTAAATGTCCCATTGACTAAATGAGAAGTGTAAACAACATATATACTTATTCTCACATGTTTGGAATTTTCATACAAATTATTGAGAACATATATGATTATTCTCTAAAGCGCTGGTTGAAAAAAAGTTAGAGACCAACGAGTTTCCAATCAAGAGAACAGCGTTTCATTTAAATTTGCCAATAAGCAACATACGTAGCGAAGCAATGCTCTCCTCTACACTTGTAATATTCTCTTAGTCTCTTACGTTTACTCAACTTATTATAACAGTATGAAGTCTATAGGTATATCATAATCGAGATTTATTGAAAACGTGCATAGGATTCTTACATGTCCGTCCCTTCACATGCCATCTATTAACGAAATTCTTTATACTGCAACAATTTGAATTAGAGGACTGAAAATATGCTTTTAAATTCAAAATGAAACTAAAAAGATCTACTACTCTTTTTCAAGTTTGACTTCTACTTTCTAAGGAGTATTACTATCAGAAAAGGAAATTTTCTTATGAAATTTCAAAAGCCATACGAAATAAAAACGCAAATATACTTTTAAACTTTTTGGTTTTCCATTCCAAACATGTGAGAATAAGCGTCCACATTTGTTTACAATTTTCAATACTTGAACATATATTTGTATAAAAGTTGCCAGCATCTGAGAATGAGCGTTTCTTATTCTCAATAATTTGTATAGAAACTCCAAACATCTGAGAATAAGCGTCCACATTTGTTTACAATTAGTTAATAGTTAACAAATGCTTTACTCTTCGTTGATGTAAAGAGAGAGAGAGAGAGAGACAAATTTCTTTAATTTAAATAACGATAAAGCAGAGCAAATATAATCAGCAGGATTACGTATGTATTTAATCGATATTGTGCTAAAGCCATTTACGCAGAAATGCGTTCAAGAGAGAGAAATATAAATCGTTTTCTATACTCAAATATAGACGCAACTGAGCTTACGGTTGTGAGATAAAGAAAACATGCACGTTACTCTCATTTGCCTGTTGCGTAGTTAATTGTTTTCATATTATAGAACATATATTCAGAATTCATCAATTAAAAAAAATGAAAGTTAGTTTAGAGACATAAAGCTCAACTAAAAATCATAAAATAAGAAAAGTGAAGAAAAGGAATTTCAAGAATAGTATTTCGTTCTCAATTAGGAATGGTTTTAAGTTGCGCATGTTATAATATAACAATTTATTATATCGCGAAAGGATAATAAATCGTGCAATTGTGATCTTCTCTGAGACATTGTGATCTTCTAGAGACGCCAACCCTTCGCAAAAAGATAATAAATCGTAAAATTGTGACCTTCTCTAGATAATAGTTGCTTTGTTCCAAAGAAAAATTGCTTCCGCGAAAGGTTTCTATTGGTGGTTGTAAAATTTTAGCATAAGACATATTTTTTGAGTATAAAAGGTTTTCAAAAAAAATATTCAAATTTACTTGAAGAAAAGTTTAGTGAGAATTCTTGAAAAATTACAGATGTTATGATGATATTTCTTGCATGGTCTAAATAAATTACCTGGTTAAAAGCTATTGCTTACTGTGGTCTTTATAAGCGTTTTTATGAAATGTGTATCTTAACGAATATTTACAGTATTATCGGTGTGTTCATGGTAAGCCTGTCGAGTTTCAATGTAAGGAAGGTACGGCCTTTCATACGGTGACAAACGTTTGCGATTGGATTGAAAATAGTGATCGTTACTATTGTACGCGATTAAAAGAAAAGCAGACGAGTAGTAATGCACTAAAGCGATCAATTAAGTAATAAATACGTTAGAATTTAAAATATTTTTTTAATAAAATAAGTGATTAAATATAAATTTTTTAAAATTAAAAAACAAAAAATATTGTATAAACTTAAATAAATTAAAAAAAAAAAAAGAAATTGAAAACATTTCCGACTGTACTCTTCTATCTCGACAGACGTTGTTTACAAAAGTCTCAAGAGTTTTTTTGTATTTAAGTTTACCTGTATTTAGAAATCAAGTGCATAAATATTATGTAACGTATAGCAACATATATACGCTTTAGGCAAGGTGAGTAA